CCTTGTTAGAAAGTCAAGGCACAAGCTCTGAGGACCTTCAGCCGCATGTGTTCTTAACAAGAACACGAATACCAGGTTATCACTGTCTGAACCCAATCACATCAAGAGCTGGAGACTGCCAGTGTGGTCAGATAATGGCAAACGTTGCTCAAACTACTCTAAAGCTTTTGCCTGTAGCTGTCTGATGAGACTCTGCCATTGTACAGGGCATGGCCCTCACATTCGGGTATCTTGTGCTGACTGCACCTTCAGCTTGTGCTTGCTCTCCTCGTCTGCAGTAAGGACTTCAAGGACTGAAAGGTTTGTACGGAGGCACTGCAGGTGATGGTAGCAACTGATGCCTGGAAACATTAGCAAGGAAAGTATGCTGCAGTTGAGTCCAAAGTGTGATTTATGTCCACCTTTCAGATAAAGGAGGTTGGGATAAGTTGTGGGTCAACTGACTAGTGTGGTGTCATTCATAAGAGAGATCCCAGAAATTTTTCCATGCACAATTGCTTCAGGCTCCCTTGGCATGGATGCTCTCCCCTCTATCTCCCTGTTGCCAGAAAGCTGCCTTGGCTAACACTGGCTGCTGGCAGATGTGTTTTCCATCTATACTGCAGTGTTAGAAGTTCTCTACGTGACCTGCCCTGTGTGGAAGAGGTCCCCCTTTCTTTTCAGACACCCTGGCATGCTGAGAGCTTCAAGAATACTCTAGTCCCTTGGTTTAAGGCACATCTTACCTGTGGACTGGTTACGTTTGGGCTTGCAGTTTATCCTGAAATTGTCCTTAACACAAGCTCAGTCTAAGCAAAAGCAAAAGCAAGGGTCTATTTGGAACATAGAGAGAGATGGCACTATTACCAAGGCTTAGGACACATGCAACAGGAAGGAAAGACCAGTCATAAGCTACTTGAGATGAAATTTTAATGGCAAGTCTTATTTGTATCTAGATGAGAAGCTGTAGGTTCTTCCCTGCACCTCATGGGTAGGTATTTGACATTGGTGCACAGCCAGCATTTCTGTATGGTGTCTCAAGATGGACGACTGGCATGGGGAAGAAGGTTTACCTTTACATCCCACCCTCTCCACAGGGTTTCCCTGTCTTCTACCATGATTTCATTCTCCTTTTTCCCACCTCTCCTCCTTACCAATTATTTCTTTCTTCTCAGCTCCATTTGCAGGTTTTAATCTTTCTTGCACTAGATCATTCTCCACTCCTCCTCTTTGGAAATGCTCCTATCCTTTGATAAGGTCAACTTAGGTATCACTTGTATGTCCAGGCAGAGAGCAGGCTCCTTGTATTTTATGCAAACATGACTTGCTAACCACACATATGTGGCACTGATGTATGCAGGGCCAGAAATGATCTTCGGGAGACCCGTCACAATAATAATTAATCACTTTGGAATCATCAGAAGTGTGGAGGTGAGAGACATTGTGACATTACTGGTAAATGCTGTTGGTGTTGGCGACTATTTCCAGGTGTAACGATGGGTAGAGAAAAGGAACAGAGGAGAATTATTGAGGGATTCTTTCTGTTCTTGCCTAAATGTGGTTTCACTTGACTTAAACCAGACCTAAACATAGCCTTGTGTATCAGTTTAACTAGATTAGTTTGTATCAATGCCTTCCATTAAAATGACATACACATCTGTGTATCTGAGACTGTAGTATGGTGTGGATGTACTTGCTGGGCTTGCTGCCATCTCTAGGGGTATTTGGCTGACTTTGTAACAACTACAGTCCAAGCTATAACTTCACAAAAATCCAGGTTGCGTTTGGCCCATACTTAGTGCTGCCAGCAAAGATGGATCAGAAATATCGTTCAGAGCAGAGTAGAGCTGTTTGCCTTCTGAGGAGAGTGAGCTGAGATGGGCCTTGCTTTGTATTCTTTACCGTTGCACTTAACGGTGTAAAGATTATTCTGCAAATGATCGGGAACTTCACACTTCTGCATTAGGCTGTGTTGCAGAAGCAGTGTGGTGTGTCCTGTGGTTGGCATCAGCAGCAAAGCGTTCTTGAAAGAGAATCGTCAGGTCTGGCATTTGCTCCCGTTGATAGATCTCTCACCTTCTCATCATTTTAAAGTTATGGAGAAAAAGAAAAAAAAAAATTGTTTTACTTTGTTTCCTAATTGCTGTGTTGTCACTTCAGGGTTTTTCTGTTGCCCTGCAAATAGGGATAATTCAGAGCAGAATCACTTCAGTCCCTCTTTGGGGGTGACCTGAAATGTGCAATTCTCAGTTTTGGAACCATTAAGCAACCCTTGCAAATCAGCGATCTCCACTTACTCTTACTCTGTGGAGCTAAAGCCTCAGTTATGGATATGACTCACTCATAACTCCTTAGCAGATGTTTAAAGCCTAATGCTTGAGGTAACTGGTGTGTGTGTGCTCTTCTCCTGCATAGTTTTTAAAGGTTAACTATGGGGTAAAGAAAGACTGAAATGAAGACATTGCAGTTAATAATTTATTCTACATATTTTATTTCAAACAGATCATTAAATGCTCATACATATATACATATGTATTTTTACTTATTCTCCAGACACTGTCAGCAAGTAAGTCACCGTCTGAAGTTTATTCATGAAATATGTGGTGTAAAGAATCAAGTGCGGGATTACTGTGGGTTAAATACATCTCACTTTGTGCTGTATTTGTTTTGTGATTATGTGACCTCTCTATTTTGGACTTTAATAGCCAAATGATGATATATGAACTCAGCTGTCTGACTGCCCTCTCTGTTAGGGGTTATCCTCTTCAGTGCATGGCTAACAGGAAAATGTCTGTCTGTAGTTGTGCACATCAGTTCAATCTCACCTTTATCAGCAGTTTCAACTAAAATAGACTTTGCAATGAAACTACTTGTGTGAAGGCGGATGTTCCCTTCTGCCGATCCTGCTGCAGTATTGACAAGCTGCAACAGAGAGACAGGGAGAAAGGCTGGAGGAGGGACCATCTTAACTTATCACAACAGAATTAGCCACAGATTGTCTATCAGAGGCTTTAAATGAACCAGGGAGATGTACCTTTTAAAATCAACACATAATTAGAAATTCACATAAAAGTTCTTGGAACTCTGAGTATTTCAGTGTTGTCAAGAAAGGAGTACAGGGAGTCCATGATGCCATTTGAAACTTCAGATTTTCTCTTTAGTTCTAACTGAGATTTGACACAATGCTTCTCTTTTATGCTTCTGAATGAATGACAAAAGGTGTCAGTGGCTTAGCAATATGCATTCATCCCCATGGCTAGTAATGGGAATGACTGCGTTGACTTACCAACACAGAAACACACATTTTCTTGGTGCTGCCTGGGTCAACAGCAGTCACTCCAGGCTGTGCTTACCCAAGGCTGGTTTTCTTCTTTTTTCTGGCTCTTGTTTAAAAAAAATATTTAAATTAAAAACTCCCAGATATTATTAATGTCTCAGAGTTACATTTTCACTGTAATGCCCCATTCTGTTTCATCCTAGGTGTGTTAGAAAGAATCAGATATAATCTCACTTACATTCTCTCCATCATATACTGCCACAGAACCTGTCTTTCTCGTGCATGTCTTAACCATTAGTATCACCTATTGTCTTTTCATCAGGCAGCACTGCATTCAGTTCCTCCCCCATTTTGCAGTATACCTAGACTGGTCTCAATATCCCACTGGTTTTTTTTTGTTTTTTTTTTTCTGCAAGGTGACACAAGAGAAAGTTGTCCCTTACTTTTGATCCTTAATGTGCAATCTCTGCCTCGGTTAAATTTCAGCCGCCCACTCTAACGCCCTCTTTTCCAGTCCCTTTGCCACTCACCTGTCATCTTCTAGCCTGTCCAAAATGCTGTCTTCCTAGTTCCTCTGGTTCTGCTTATCCCCTGGTCAAATCTCTTCACCAGCACCTCTTTGCTCCTTTTACAAGAGTCTTCAGTATTACTTGCCCTAATGCAGAAATGGGATCTTAGGCAACAAGAATCATTCAACTGAAAAAAAGCCGTGTTTCACACCAGAAAACTGAATTCCCTTAAGCACAGAACTGATTTTCCTGCTTGACGAAAGAAGCTTCCTCTAACTCAGAATCTTGCCTATAATCTCTTCTCAAGCCTAAAATTGTGCCATCAGCTTCTTCATATCACATACTTTCAGTTTGTTACTGGTTTTGGTAGTATTATGCAGTATTGTTTTCCCAGGTCAGAATGTGAGCATCCCCACTGTGCAAAATAATTAATTCTATCATTCGTAGCATAAATAATGTATAATAAATACATTGATGCTATGGATATGCATATATATCAATATTTTGTTAACACCAGTGATACAACATATGGAATCCCTTTTAAAGTTAAAGCACATGATTGAAAATCCTGACACATCCCCTTTCTCTGCTCTGTGGAACAGGCTATAGCTTGAAACTGTGTCCCTTCATTACAGTGTTACTTCTGGCTTAAATCAGTACCGCTGCACCACAAGCCATCCGAAAAAACTGTTGAATGGTGCAGAAGTCCAACATGCTTTCAGCCACTTCCCGCCGCAAGTCCCCCCGAGCAGATAATAAAGCATGTTTGCAGTGGGGCCATACGGCCCACTGACTGATGATCTTCCTGCAGACCAGGAGAGAGGAGATGAGATTTTTTTTTTTGGGGGGGAGGGGAAGTTTTTTTTTTTTTGGGGGGGGGGGGGAAAGGACTAGATAAACATGCCTGGAAATGGCAGATCTCTTGACGGAGCAGTGCTTCCTTGCAGCTTTTCCTACTGCCTTGGATTGCTCTGTGGCAGGCTTGCTTCCCTCTCTTATTTTAAAAGGAAAGAAAACCTCTGTTAAAAAACAAAATCATAACAAAAAAACAGCAGGAAAGACCAAGGGATGCTATTAATAAAGTGAGGGCCCTTGCCAAGAAAGGCTGAGTTTTCCAGCGGCCATTTTACCACCCTTGTTTCTTTATTAAACTAAGCTGTTTTTTAATGAGACCGTCCCGTTTTGCAGATGTGATCCCAGGCTCTGAACATCCTCCCATGTGTTTTGTTTTGCAGGAGGCAGCACAGGCACCTCCCCGACCACCTCCAGCACGGGGACCCCGTCACCCTCTGCTTCGTCTCACCTGCTCTCTCCATCCTGCTCCCCTCCAGCCTTTCATCTGGCCCCCAACACTTTCAACGTTGGCTGTCGGGAGAGTCAGCTTTGCAACCTCAACCTGTCTGATTATCCCCCGTGCGCCAGAAGCAACATGGCCGCCTTGCAGAGCTACCCCGGGCTGAGCGACGGCGGCTACAACCGGCTGCAGAGTGGCACTGCTTCCGCCTCGCAGCCCTCTGAAACCT